GTTTGAATTTACTGAAGGTAAATAATTAAACTAGTGTTGGGGTCTCAAGTTCTCCAATTCTCCAAAATTATTTTTTTCATTTCCTTATTCTTCAGTGTACAAATTCAGATATATGTGCCCAATTATAGACATCTTTTTTTTTCTATTTCTCTTTTGCTATCAGCTTACTGATTTTTAAAAGAGATTGGCACACACTGCTAGCTGATAAGTTTGAAATATTTAAAGATATGCATATTCATAATGTATGAATATCCTAGATATTATAATATACACATTTCCTAGCTGAGGCCTGTGTAGTACCTTTTGAAATGTTTATCCAGGCCTTCAAGAGTCAATTGAAAATATCAGTGCTTGGTCACTATATATGTTCAAGTTTATGGGAATTTCTTAAGCAATGAAGATAGTAAGAACTGGCTGATTGAACTTTATGAAACAGATAATTAAACAGACACAAAGGTGGGGCAATTAAAAAAGTCACATTGAAATAATTGGTTTTTTATCCATTAAAGTAAGTAGAATCAAGCAATTCCTGTTATTAGATTAGTGATATCAGGGAGACGACTGTTTTTTCCCCTCCGAGTTGTTTTCGTTGGCGTCACGAGGTTGTTATCCTCAGCCGTTTCTGATTAGGAAGTGCTTTAAAAGATGCACGTGGCTTTGGTGTTCCATTATTTGAAGGATTCTGAGCGTGGCAAACTTGTGGAGCCACGTTATTATTTGAGCTTTATCTGGCTTGCGGCATGTTCAGCTGTGTGGAAACGGTAGGCTGAGAAAGGTAGGAGGCATACAACTAGGATTTTTCATTTCCTTTGACTAGCCAATGACTTCTGCTTATCAGATGCTCCATTTCTGTTGAATTTAATTAACTGACTGAAGATGCTGATGTCTGTGGGGACGCACAGAGACTTGTGTCATGTGCTGAATTGGCCCTTTTTGGTTCTCCTTCCTGCTGTTTGCCAAGTCGCAAGTCTGTGGCCCACTCGTATGTGGTGCCACTGGCCAGCTTTCTTAAAATGGCCTTCCTAGCTGGAAAAAGAAACACTAGCTTGAGAGCCTGAAGATGTGAGATTCATTTTGGCCTTTGCTATTTTTGGTAAAGCCTTTTAGCACTTTGTGCCCAACTCCCCATCTGTACATGGAGATGGAAGTTACTGTGAAATAATGATTGTTCCAGATGGCGGCTCGATCCTTGGGTGGAAGGCACCCCTGGAGCTGACTATCCAAAGTCATGGCTAACGACACCCTCTGGAAATAGGCTCTGTGTGCCGGCCCACACTGTTATGCTTGTTACCCAGGAGGGATTGCCTCTTTCCTCTCGGGGTTTACTTTATACGAAATACCTGCAGTAGTATTTACAAAATGCTGCAAGGTCTGGAGAGTTGCCAAATAGTATTTTTCTATAATACTTTAAAAGATCTTGGTGTAAATTCCATAATAAGAAACTCAGAAACGCCTCTAATACTACTACTAGTACTAAATTGGAAACTGCTGAATTGCTTATAGTGCTTAATCTAACCACACAGTTTAGACATTAAAGCTTATGATAAACATCAGGGAATGGAGGTTACCTCCAGTCTTATAGAAGGTCCAGAAAATATGATGATGCACACTCAGATATACAGTTCCATTCAGATAATATCTCACCTTAATTCAAATAGGTAACAATGACCTTGATAGTGAGAGAGCATCAACCTTTGGTTTTCAGTGCAAGTGAATGAAGCTTAGATCTAAGAAAGGTCTTGAAAATAGCTTCTGGGAAAAGATGACTATTTTTAGGAAAATCTGGAAATAGCTTTTCTCGGAAAGGTCAAGTAAATATGACAACGTTTGCTATGCACTTACCTCTAACAATCACTTGACTTAAGATAGCCTTTTGGTGTGATACAAGTGCTAAATAGCCAGTTTGATGGAGTTTACAGTTACCTATGGCTGTTTTTAGAATCATGTGAAGAGTCTGAAATTTAGTTGCTGAATATGAACTGGGATTCTTAAATTGCTGAGATGTGTGATTCCATTTGTCCTTGTAAGTTCCAGAGTTGAATATGCAAATGGAACTTGACATATACAAGTCAATATTTTCATGCAAGTTTGGTTTTGAGAACAGAAAAGCAATTTTTTATTATATATATGGTATTT